AAACTGAGTGGTTTGAAGGGTACTCCCCCCCCCCCCCGCCCCCCAATCATTGAAGATAAATGAGTTAAAATCAGAGCTGGTTTTGTAGAAAAGTCTAAAATGCTAAATGTTGAACATTGCAAAAGAGTTTGAGAGGTTAACAGCCTGAATTATATATGAAAAGAGTAAGGGAAGAGTGAGTGGAGATGGAGGAAGAATATAAAGGAGGCATAGTAAGTCCAGTTTACATATCATATAATAATTCAATTAGATATATTGCCTTAAATGTTCATGTATATTGTAGTGAGTACTCACACTTCAATGTGTATGGGACAGAAAAATGAATGTTGTCTTGACCTCCCAGTACCATTACGTTACTGTCCTTTAGAGGGTAAGGCCTTAATTTAGGAAACAGCAAATGAGTCTTAAAAACAGTTTCTTACAGCTTTGTGTTCTAACTGTCCACCAGTCCTGAGCTGTATGTTCGGAAACTGATACTCCCCAGTCAGAGGAATTAGTGGTTATGGACTAGATCATTGCCACTAAGTTATGAGTGCAGGCAGCAGCTCTCCTGCATGCCCTAAAGTCTCAGATGTCTGCTATGAAGAAAAACAAAGAAAGAAATCTGCATTTTAGTGAAGAAACTCTTCTCTACCCCTTCTTGACCAATGTCTTCCTATAACAGAGCAGTACAGTGGATGCATAAAGATGTTTCCAGTGTTGGTAGCAGTCTTTCAGCTGTGGAGGGAGGCAGCCTGTCTGTTCTTGTGTACATCCTCCAGCCTTTCTAACTGATAAAAAGGTGAGGAGTGGAAATATTAATGACTTCCCTATGCGTTCCTTCCCAGGCACTGAATGGAGCAGCACCTCCTCAGGTGCGGCCTCACCAAGTCTCTTCCAAGGAAACCACAGACGTACTCCCTCAGAGGCAGACCGCTGGTTGGAAGAGGTCTCAAAGACTGTCAGAGCCCAACAGCAGCCAACCCCAGCCCCAGCCCCACAGCCACTACTACAGCCTCCTCCAGCAGCTTCCCAGTCAGCACCAGCCTTCCCAGTCAGCACCTTCATTGCGCCTCAGCCTGTGCCGGTGGGTGTGGTACCGTCCATGCAGCCAGCATTTATTCCAGCTCAGCCCTATGCTGTAGCAAATGGGATGACCTATGCAGCCCCAAGCGTACCTGTGGTTGGAATCACACCTTCCCAGATGGTGGCCAACGTCTTTGGCACCGCAAGCCACACTCCAGCAGCCCATCCGCATCAGTCACCCAGTCTTGTCAAACAGCAGACGTTCCCTCAGTATGAAAGCAACAGTGCTACGACCAGCCCTTTCTTCAGTCCACCCGCGCAGCACAACGGCTCTGCAGCTTTCAATGGAGTTGACGGTGGCAAATGGACTGCAGAGGACAAGCATTCGCAGCCTCCCGCAGCTGCTCCGCAGGTAGACCCATTTGAAGCACAGTGGGCAGCACTCGAGAGCAAGACAAAGCAGCGCACTAATCCCTCTCCAACTAACCCCTTCTCAAGTGATTTACAGAAGACATTTGAGATTGAACTTTAGGCAGTCCCATGGGGGGTGGATAAATTGTACATTAGAATAGAGGGATAAAGGGAGCAGAGGGGACTGTTTCTGATCAGTTTGCTTTGATAATCCCAAAGGTCCCTTCAAACCAAAATGAGTTAGAAAGAGGGAGCAATTATGGGGAGGACATAAACGTACAGAGAATTTAATGTGCAGTTCTTAAAAGGAATCCTGGAGCCACCCCAGTCTGCGTTCCCTCCTCACTTGGAAAGCTGGAAGTTGAACAGAGCAGAGAAAGGCACCCAGTCCCGACGCCTGTTCTGCAGAAACATCAATTATCTCACAGAAAGGAAGGCAGATTTTGTACCCGTGTCCTTCTGGTGCCCTGCGAGTCCTGGACGTTCCCCCTCAGGGAAAAAAATGGGGTGGGGGGTGGATATGGGCGGGAGACTGTCACCTGCTTAACAAAAGCTAGGTCTGTGGAAAAAGTTGAGCTTCCATTTTGAGTAACAAAGTGAATATTATATGTAAAGAATAAAGTAAAGCCAAAATCTTTATTTTTATGCATTTAGAATATTTTAAATAGTTGGATATTAAAAGCTGTATGAGTTGTAAGTAATCTTGCCAAAGGTTAAAAAAAAAGGGGGTTGGATGTAAGAAATTGTACATAAGATTGATTTATCTCTGATTCTTATTGTAAGTAATATGGGGGGGGGGTGGAAAAAGGGGCTCTAGCTTGTTCTTGTATCTGTTCATTGTAAGTAGCATATTGCAACAACAATCACAACCAATAAGTCATTATATTGTAGTTTTAAATAAAGAAAATTAAAGAACAGTATTGTCATGGTTTGAAAACCATGGGGAAAATGTACTGGGTTTTTTTGGGTTTGTTTTGTTTTGTTTTGTTTTTTATTGGAATCAAGCTACATATTATATATAGTATGGGTTTTTTTCCTTTCATGTATTGCTGCAGTTTCTTTGTCTTAATCTATTGGTTCTAACACTACTGTGACAACTTACTGTAATCATATCTACATCCTGGGGCTACCTGGGAAACCATTTTATGTTTGTCTGTCGATAGATCTTAAGAGGTTTTTAACTTTGGTTTTATTTTTTTCCACTGATTTGTGAAACCTTGTGGTTAAGGCTGCAGCTGGTCCAGGTTCTGCCTCTGGTGACTTGTGAAAACCATCTCATTTTAACTTTACTTTTAAACTTTGGCCTTACAAGCAAATGTAAGTTATATATATTTGTACTGATGATTTATAATCTGCTTTAACAGAAATAAATGTTGGTGGTAGAAGTGCTGTCTGTGAAAACTTTATTTCACCTCCGCCCCGTGCAGTTTTCAGGATTTGCCCTTCTGGGTATCGTCTTCTGTGTTATTAGGTGAACGGGGGTGAGCCCTGCTTGCCAACCTAGAAGCTTTGTAATGGTATCTTAACACTTTGCATTTGGTACACCAGGTTAGGTTACCTTGAACTTTAAGACTGAACTTGCAGATCTCCTTGTGACCCATAACAAGTGGAGGGCTTGACTGAAAACATCAGATTCTGGGTTTGCATCACTGTTTTCTAACATTGAATATTTACATGCAGACAAATATGAAGACACTAGCATTCGAAAAGGAAAGCTCACTTTGGTTTTCTTTCCCCTGCTACTAAAAGGAGTGAAGATCCTAAGAGCCACATGATAAGACTGTATTTTCACTCCTTTTCTGTTCCCCCAGTAAGTTGATACCTACCCTGTTAGTACGACTGTTTCTTTACTGCATTCTTATGTGCGCCACATTGTTTTAGACATAAGGAAAAGTCAGACTGTAAGCTGGATGGGAAGAAATGCTCCCTTTGTTTGGCCCTATTTCCCAGCAGTTTCCATTTCCAGGCAAGTACAGCCTCACAGTGATATGGTCTAGAAAACCGGGGCTGCTGTTCTTTACAGATTCTTACCTGTTTTCAGTATGATACGAATAGCAATGGCCAACATTCCCTATGCTATTTGAGTTGGTACCAATGCTTTTTTCAGCTTTCAAAAAGTAAGTAAATAGTTGTAGACGTTTACACTAGAATAAGCTATACATGCTTGCTTTCCTGTTAGTTCTGTATCTCTCACAGCAGCGCCCTAAGATCAGCTGAAAAGAGCCCAGTGTAGCTACACCCTTCCCCTGCCCTGGAGATACCAGTAAAGGCGATATGGCCTTCCTGCAATCCGTTGTTTAGGGAAGAAAACGAACATCTTGATCCTCAAATCAAAAAAAAAAGTTAACATTCAGTTCGGCAGCGAAGTGGCACTATATAGAGGGGAAAGCTCAGCTTGCCAAACAGAAGAAATGTAAAAAGACCCTTTAGTTAACTATTGCAGCGATGACATTTAAAGCAGTGAGCTGCGTGCCTTCAACTACCGCCCTTACTACCGTGGTTATGCAGCTGAAAGAAGGTCGGCGAATAAACCCTCGCCCAACTGAAGCGCCTTCAGTGCTGCAGTCCTGCCCGTCAGACTACAGGTGGCTGTTACAGCCCTCGTGAGGCTCGAGAAAGCGCTCCCTGGCCACGTCTTGTATAACCCCACAGCTTAAATGAGAGCTGACCACACAGAGTATTTAAATATTCTAAAAATAGAGCCTCTGACCTAGAGAAAGGGATATTACAGAACTGACTGCTTATTCTGGAACAAAAGGGTCTGATACAGTCACAATCAACTTCTACCGTACTTCTGAGCTGGTCCACAGATCTTGACAACCCGCTATGCCTGCTACGTGTGAACTGAGAGGTCTTCACTAACGCTGGAATTTACACAGTCTGTGATTCGTCCCTGGTCTCAAAAGGCAAAGTCATACTGTATACTAAAATCCTAATATCCTATACACACGCACAAAAAAAAAGATGCTGGGCTGAGATGTTTGTTAAATGCAAAATCACGTACAAACACAATGAGAAGTTCTCAGGACCATCTCATCGTTCTTAAATCCCCAATGATGTCAACATTCAAACCTTACACTGTAACGCCTACCATGACTGACAGCAGAGGAAGTTTTCCCTAATCGAATTACAGCATCTTAAGGGCAAAAAATAAGTATTTTTGTCTTTTCTAGCAAGCAGAATCCATCAGAGCACAGAAAGATCCACCCCCAAATAGCTGGTAACTGTCACCTCTCACTCCTTTACTGGATTGCTTCTAGACTTTTCAGTTTGTTCACATCTTAAAGCAGTGTGTCCAGTCTTGAAGCCATACCTGTGCTGAAGAGAGTGCAACCATTAGGTTAGAGAGTCTTATTTTTAGGTGCAGCTGAACTGATTTACTGGATTTAGAATCCAAACCAGCTTTAGGCTGTCAAGCCTGGGGATTTGCACCTATGTATTACTGCTGCCCTGAGTACTGAGTCTGGACCAGCGGAGAGGAGAGTGGTATGAGCACAGTCCTGAATTAGCTGCCTGCTTTAGAAGCCTTAAAGTGGGGGGGGGGGGGGGGGGCAAAGCCCCTCCTCCACCCCCCCAACCAAAACATCAACTCTACACACCAGCCTACTAGTTTATAGCTACATCTATGCAAATAATCAGTGGGTGATGGTGCTACTCAATATGGTTAACCTGTCCAAGTCTCAGCAGGGAGTTTGGAATGAGGAAGGGGGGGGGCTGTTAGGGCTGATGCTAGGGTACAACAATACTGTGGAGGCTGTAAAAAAAATGCTTTTGCTCAGAAGTTATAATTCTGGGGTTTTTTTGAGATACTGAAGACACCCGAGACCCTTTCCAGGTTAACTAATCATTACATAATCTCACCTCCTCCCACCTCCCTTAATGCCTGAACATTGCTCTTTTAGAGCCTCATATGCACGCTCGCTGCCACTCACTCTTAGTCTTGAACTGAAGGATGCTTTTCAGCTATAGCTGCTCCGCATCTGGAAGGCCTCCCTTGGCCCGTAGCAGCGGGAATCAGCCCAGGCCACATGCAGAGCCAGGCTTTCCCGGAGTTAACTGAGACTAGAGTAGATCATTGGGAGGTTTATTCCGGCAAGTCAAATGCCCCTGCACATATTTCTATGTGTGTAGTATTATATGTGTATACAGCGCAACGCTACCACAGAGCCCAGCTTTGCAATAAATTCAACAGCACGGTTCTGGCTCAGAAGAAAAAATACAATGATCTGCTGAGCCTTCCCAGAGCCAGTGATATCTCAGACCCGATAACAGTGTTGGTATATTAATCTAAATTACCCCTAACATTCAGGAAGGGCTAAAAGTATCCTTGTATTTTGTCTTCAGCTTTCTATGAAGCCTTGTTTCTGCATTTCACTCCAAAGCTCATTACAGTCAAGTAGAAACCAAACTGACCCAGCCAGAAATTTGTCTAAGGTCTACTGGAATAAAACAGCTACAGTATCGTGACATGATACAGCTGCACCCCTAGAGCTAGTAATCTCATAGGGCCTGAACGCTGATTTTATATGCATCAAGCTCTTTCTCACGGCCAGAGTCCTTTGCATTTAGATGGAAAGTGCTCCCCAGGATTACAAACGTTCATCGCTTATTAGTGCTTTGGTTAAGCCAGTTCAGGCCCATCTTCAAACACTTCAGAGATTTTTTTTTTTTTAAGAGCACTTCTCTCTCATGCTTGTATGAAGAATTGGTCTCTCCCTCTTTCATGATGGTTATCTGCCTTCTCTAAAGTCACAGCATCCTTACGTTCCCAGTGTCATCTTGTTCCGTGAATGACAGCAACTACCCTTAAGCAAAGAGATGGATTAGCTACAGCAAGGCATACGGGGGAGAAAAGTTTGCAATAAACTCGAGGGTGGTGGGTCTCCCACCTTTGAGCAGTTACACCCACTACACTCTGTTCAATTCACCCTCTTGAGCTTTCCAGCAGGGCAGATCTCCCGGAACAGTTTCATGCAGCAAAAGGACAGAGTTCAGACTTCCAGCCTTGTAATCGGTCACCTGTAGTTTCACGTGGCCGTGGAGGCGTCTGTCACCCGCGGTGACGGGGAGGGCTGGCCGGCGGCTGGTAGCGAGAGCAGCTAGCGCAGCAGAAGCTGGAGTAGTACTCGTTACTGCAGAGCTGGGCCTGCAGGATCAGGTCGCAGTTGGCGAGGTGCGGCTGGTCCACGCACTCTCTGCTCAGGTCCACGACGTGATTCACAGTAGCTGCAGCCAAGCAAAAGTTGAAGCAGCTGTAAATACACTGCCAGGGCTTATCCTCAGCTTTTGTTTCCCTCCCAAAAGACACAGCAATTTCCTGCTTTCTCCACCCTGCCAGTTCTAAGGGGATGTTTTTAAATATAGTCCAACATCAAGGATGAGAGAGAAACTGGTATCTCTGGTGAGATACAGGAGGAGAATGCAGTTTCTGGGGCTAATCTCCTAAGGAGACACCATTCTACACCCGTGTAGAGCCAGCTGGATGGTGTCCGAATCTTACAGCCAACTATTTGGTCAACCAACTATGGCATTTTGGCCTTGGGAAGTTAATTAGGCTCCCAGTGCCCTGGAGGGTGGGTGTGGGTGTGAGTCCTGCTTTTCTGCCCAGGGAAAGCACGGCTCCTCAGGTAGCACAACGCAGGGGCTCCTGCTGCTCCCCAAAGCCCAGTCAGTGGTGGATGGGCACGTGCAATGGGCAGACTTACAATAGTGGCCAAGAGGCAGGCGCTGTGCCGGGAGAGGCAGGGAGGACAGGTTGTACTCACTGCTAGGCCGGCTCCTCAGCACCTTCACCTCCGTGCTGGCACTGACGGAGTTGCTGCTGCTGTAGGCACTGCATGTGTAGGATCCCTCATCAGCCTCTTGAACGTTGCTTATGATCAGGCTTCCATCCCGGGAGAGGTGGATGTGG